CCACCACCCCCAACTCCCTGTGATTGCTAATGATTCTATGATCTGCCTAGTTACCCAAGTAAGAAACCTAGGAGTCATGGATGACATTTTCCTTTCTTTTCTGACCCATTGCATATATCCAACTTGTCTTGATTTTTCATCAAGTCTTTTAATTTCTCTCAAATCTGAACACTCCTTTCAATATTCTGCCTATGTCTTGGGTCTCATTTCTTTACTGAATTGCCGTAACAGTCTCTTAATTTATCTAAAGTCTTAGCTTCAAACCGCCCTCCAAGCGGCTTCTTTCTAAAATACAAATCTAACCATCTTCTCCCAAGCCTAGATCCTGTCTATGGCTTTGCATAAGAAACTAGCGGTGCAAAAGTTTAAATAAAACAATTGGCTGCTACCAAAAGTGGTGGTTAGAACCCATCAGGGGCTCTAAGGTAGAAAAGACCTGGGGATCTGCTCTCATAGAGATCATTGTTGTTAAGTGCCATTGAGTTGGTTCTGACTCATAGCAACCCTTTACAGGGTTTCCAGGGAGTGGCTGGTGAACTTGAACTGCTGACCTGGTGGTCCAAACCAATCTTTAGTCCAGTGCATTAACCCGCAGCGCCACACCAAGACTCCCTCATAGAGATTGTTGTTGTTATTAAGTGCTTTTGAGTCAGTTCCTACCCATAGTGACACTGTACAGGGTTTCCATGAAGCAGTTGGTGGGTTTGAACTGCTGACCTTCTGGTTCACAGCCCAGGGCTGATCCTATAGTGCCACAAATTCTATGGGCAGTTCTGTTCTGTCCTATATGGTCACTGTGAGTTACAATAGACTCAGCAACAACATGGCTGTGCATAACTTTTAAAGACTTTCTCCTATGGCATTTAATACAGTCCCCTATTGGTGGCGCTGTGGGTTAATATACCAGACTGCAAAGCCATTTGAACTGCAAGGTCGGTGGTTCAAACTCACCAGCTGCTCATTGGAAACCCTATACAGGACTCCTATGGGTCGGAACTGACTCCACAGCACTTAACAACAACAACAACTACATTCATATAATAATGCACTCTGGGAAATGTTTTGTCAGTTAGGATTCCCTTCAGCCAGCCATAATACAAAAGGACTTCAAAAGGTTCATGGAAATTTTCCATTATCTTTTAATTTCACTTTTCTATGAACTCTCTGAAGCCCCTTCATATACACACACACACACACACACACACAAACCTAGACTGCAACTGGCTTTAGAATTGGCCACTTGAATAATGTGATAATGTGACCCAGGTTTTCTCAGCATTCTTCTTTGCTGCCATTATTGTTGGATTTGTCCTCAGTACTAAGATGGATGCAGCAATTTCAAATATAATATCCACATACAACATCTGGCTCCCTTCAGTAGACAATAGCCCTGACCCCTTAGCTCCTAATTACAATGGAAATACGATGACCTTAAACCAACTAAGCCCACTCCCGTCACAGGACAATTTCCCCTAAGACACATAACTTTGTGAAGAAGGGAATGGCGTGGAGGTGCAAGAGTGAGAAGGGAAGCTATATTCAAACACAATCTAGAACTGTTATGCTGAGCAGGCACGTTTATGTAGCATTAAAGGGCAAGTACAGATTGTACTTTATTCATGGCTAAGTGTCCAACTGCTAAGGAAAGTTCGGTGTTTCAAATCCATCAGCTGCTTAGCGGGATAAAAGACCTGGTGATGTGTTCCCTTAAACACTTTAGCCTATGGGGCAGCTCTATTCTGTTGCATATGAGTTGGAGTCAACTCAATGATACACAACAAGAAAAATCTTCATGACTCTATGAGATATACCCACTGCCATCAAACCAATTCCAACTCACAGCGACCCTAAAGGACACAGTAGAACACTCCTAGGATATCCAAGACTATAAATCTTTATGTGAGCAGACAACCTCATCCAATTTAAAGCTGGTGACTTTAAACTGCCAACCTAGCAGTTAGCTGCCCAATGCTTATCCCAGTGCCACCAAATATACACTATGAAATAGACACTGTTATCTTTATCTTTATGCAGATGAGGAAACTGAGATGCAAGGATAGGTTCAGATTTTGGTCAGCTGACTGAATGTGGTGATTTGTCCTGACATCTCTCCAACTCATCTGTCTCTCTGCCATCACTAGGGAGGGCTCATTGATACACATGAACTAATTACAGTTGAGATACTTCACCCAAGAGGCCTTGCTCTCTCTAGCCCTGTGCTGGAGCACTTGCTGGCTCCTTTCCTGGACTGCACTTCATCACCTTCAAGTTCATTCAAGACCAGAATGAGTCCACACTCCTCTGCATAGCCTTCTCTGACCAATGCAGTGAGGCCAGACCCTGTCTGCCCAACACCTGCCAAATCTCCTCACCTCAATATATACTAAATACATATATATGTATTAATAAAGTGATAACATATATATGTATATATGTTATCCTTCTATTGTAAATTGTGTGAAGATTTACAGAGTGATTTTGCATTTAACAAATCATATACTTCATTTCATTTCAATGATTGTAATTCCCTTCATGTAACATCAGTTATCCCACTTACTGATTGGAAAAGAAGGTTGAATGAAAACAAGAATTATAGGGATATAATTCTTGTTTTCATTCAACCTTCTTTTCCAATCCTTCTGAATTTTGTCCTTAGGTAAATGCTGCCCTTTTGATCTTGGATGGTTGAGCAGTATTACATGGTGTTTTACATCACTAGTGTTGCTGACCACCCTAAATAGCTATCTACTGCTTGGCTAGAGATTGAGCCATGAGGGTGAGTTCAGTTCCAGACCTGAAGGGTGACCAAGGGCCATAGTCTTGGGCTCCTCCAATCTCTTTATCACCAGTAAACCTGGTATTTTTGTAATTTTTAGTTTTGTTCCACATTTTCTCCCACTCTGTATAGGACCTTTTAATATGATCCCAATCAAAGCAGTTGGTAGTGGTAGGTGGGCACCATCTAGTTCTTCTTGTCTCAAAGAGTCTGATGATGTTCATGAGTTCCATTAGTTCATTGGACTAATAGACTCCAAGCATGTTCAATTTTCATCACTCTTATTTCCTGAATGCAGAGAAAGATCAATCATTGCTACTCACAAAAATAAAATTTAGAACATTGTCTTTGTGGATTATGCCATGCTAATTGACCATGGTGTCCCCTGAGACTATGACCTTGAACCTCTAGGCCCAGCAATAGATTCCCTTAAGGTGTTTGGTAATGTCAAATAAATTTTTATAACTTTGTCCCCTGTATTATCCACCACATTCATAGATGTGTTTGCAGCAAAGGCAAATTGTTAGTGTTGTTGTTAAGTACTGTCAAATCAATTCTGACCCATAGCAACTCTGTATAGTGTTTCCAAGGAGCAGCTGCTGAGCTTGAACCACTGACTTGTAGCTCAAACAACTTTGTAGTCTGACGCATTAGCCCACAGTGCCACACCAGGACACAGCCATGTACCAACACCCTGTTTCAAAACTCTATATATCTGTGGGTATACTCCCACTCTCCTTCCCATAGCCTTTCAGCTTGTGAATTTGCCCCTGTCTACTGAGTTGGTGTTGCTAAGTGCCCTTGAGTCATGTCTGACTCAGTGACCCTGTAATCGGTTTTCTAAGAAGTGACTGGTGGGTTTGAACTGCTCACCTTGTAGTTAGCTAGCAGTCCATTGCGTATCCTACTGCCACACCAGGACTACTGTAGATCGCTGTTTTTGCAGGGCTGTGTATATAACAGTATTTACCTCTATTTCTGGAGTCCTAGTGTGGCGCTATAAGCACTGAACTGCTAGCCACAACGTTGGCACTTCAAACCCACCAGCCACTCTTCAGAAACCCTATGGGTCAGAACTGACTCAACAGCATTTACCAACAACATCAACAATCTCGATTCCCATTAACTCTTGCCCTCTTCCCTGTGTCTTCCCCTACCATCATCATTCTTTTGCTAACCTCCCTCTTGTAAATTGCCTTCCAGTCCTTACAATCTGCCTTCATCACTAGAGAAAGCAAACCCTTCAGGACCAGGCCAGGCTTTTTCCTTGTTGTTGAATTCCCAGGGGCTTGTTACTATGTGTGGCCTACAATAATAAGTCACTCAAGTTTTATGAATTAATGCCTAAACCTCTGAGTTTGACGCTTTACTGTCTCCCCCATGCTGTCTGGCAGCACATATTGTAGATGCTTAGTCAACAGGAGTGGGAGCCTAAATTCCCCAGCCAGCCACTTCACTTAAAAAAAAAAAAAAAAGCAAAACTGTAACTCCCCCCTTTCTCCTATCTCTACAACACAAGTCTTATATTCCTTTTCAAGTCTTCCCATCACTAGAAGCCAGCAGAACCGGCGGACTTTGACTCCCCTCCACTAGCCTGAATCCAGCAGCTGACAGGATGCAGGGCAGCTGCACCCCGCTCAATCTTCCGTTCTTGCCTATTAAGGTAAGAATCCTCAGAGGAGCCAGAGAGAGGCTACCCTGAGCGGCCTCCAAGGTCAGTATGCTCACAAGGCGCTGAGGGACCCTGCGTGGTTGCAGTCCTGGACACTCAGTCGGGGGCCTTGTGACGGGTCCTGGCAGCTTCCGGGTGGCCTTGGATCCTACTTATCTCCTCCATCCAAGACTATCTGCCTTGGTTTCCATAGCCACCAGAGCAGCATCCTTATCTCTCCACCATCTCCTCGGGCATCTGGACTGGGCGCTGATTCAACGGGTCCTGGGTTTCCAGTCCTCGCTCCTTCCTCGCAGATGCTCCGATAATCAACCGTGGTCCAGCATCCGGAGCAAAGGAGGTGGACTCTCGTTTCAGGGAAAGAGAAGGACACCCGCTTCTCTTGGCTGCAGGATCAGTTCCCCACGGCGCCCCCATTCACCCAGAGCCCCTCCGTCCTCTCCAGCCGCGCCCCGCCCCCGGTTCTGCCCCGCCCCCCCGAAGGCCCCGCCCCCGGCCCGCCCGCCGGCTCCCGCCGCTCCCGGCGCTCGGAGCGCGGGCCTGGGGACTCGGGAGCCGGCCGCCGGGGCCGCAGCATGGGGCGCTTCCGCGGGGGCCTGCGGTGCATCAAGTACCTGCTGCTCGGCTTCAACCTGCTCTTTTGGGTGAGACCCGAAGCTGGGAAGGGCGGGGAGGTCCAGGGAAGGGGATGGATGCAGGGCCGGTACCCCCACGGGAGCTGACCGCTGCGGCGTTCGAGTCTGACTCCAGGGAGAATGTAGGGGTGTTCTAAAAAGCAGACAAAGAGGGAGGGGAGGGATGGTGGGGGAGAGAACGAAAAGAGAGATTGAGCAAAGAGAAATGGTGAAAAAGGGAGCGACACTGTGCGGTTCTTCTCTGCGAAGAACCCCTGCCCTGCCTTTTAATCTCCCAGCTGGTGACTCCTCAGGAGGGGTTGGGTCTCGGGCACCCCCGCTCCTCTCCAGCTTCGCTTGTACACACACCCCCTTCTCGCCCTGCTGTCGCTCCAGAGCCGGGCCTGGCCACAGCGTGGGAGAATAAACCTCTGCCCTGGGGCTAACGGGTGTGGTGCCCCATCCAGAGTGTAAGAAGACACCACCTGGTCGTGTTGGTTTGTCTAAGAAAATGAGATCGAAGTGAAAATGGGGCGGGTGTCACCGGTCCTATTTCTGAACATTAAGGGGAGGGTACAGCAGGATGGGAGCGAGAGGGAAGGGAGGGGCTTCGAAGGGGTAGCAGCATCTCTCCACAACCCCTAGCCAGCAGCCTCTGTAAAATACTAATACTGCTCTCGGAGATGATCTCATTCAACTTTGCGGTGTTTTATGGAACTGACAGCATTCCTTGAAATTAGAGCTCATATAGAGCCAGAGAAATAAGGCTGTGACCCATGTCTGGCATATTATTGGGGGTAAGGTTAGGGTAAGACCATTGCAAATCCGTGGAAATCTGGTCCCAGGCTCTGGAGGAGAGTGAGACAAGATCTAAAAATTGACTTGGCTGGACCTTCCCCCTTGAGCTTTCTTTAAGAGGAAGTCAGCCAGTGTAACTTCCCCAGGTAAACTTTGAGGGGAAATTCATTTGTTGCTTTGGGGTAGGGAAGGTGGAAGTGTCTTTAAACCAGGGAGAGAGCAGCAGAAGCCTGAATGCACTGAAATCGCTAGGATGGAGGAGGGTGATTTTCCTGTCCGCTTTGGGGAGGTTGCCTTCCCACATTGCAGCTAATTATTGAGTGATGGCCTCCATGCCTATCTGCCAAGTCCATTAGCCCAGATGCCTGGGTAGCTCCAACAACTCCAAGTTCTCTAGAGGCCAACTTGCCATCTTCAGTGTCCTTTAACTAGTAGAAGCTGTGAAGGAGGTTCCCTGTGAACAACTACTTAATGTTTAAAATACACATGACTTTTTTTTTTTTTTTAATTTAAGGTTTTTTATTGTGGATTGAGTGAAAGTTTACAGGGCATATCATCAGTTTTACATTCAACAAATCATATACCTTGTTTCATGACATTGATTATAATC